TTGGTTCCCGGCCGGGTGACCAGGGTCATTTCTGTGTGGAGTTGGCCTGTTCTCCCCGTGTCTGCGTGGGTTTCCTCCGGGTACTCCGGTTTCCTCCCACGGTCCAAAAACGTGCAGTCTGAATTGCCCCTAGGTGTGAGTGAGTGTGTGACTCTGTATGTCTGTCTGTCTGCCCTGCGATGGACTGGCGACCTGTCCAGGGTGTATCCTGCCTTCGGCCCAATGACAGCTGGGATAGGCTCCAGCACCCCACCTCGACCCAGAAGGATAAGCGGTTTAGATGATGTATGTCTGAATGGCTACGATGCAAATAAAAGTCATTCAGAGTGGTTTGATGTGAAATCAGAAGCGTTTACAGTGGTGGTGAACCAGACGACTGAAGAGTTTAAAGTTGAGACATTGTTTTTTTAATTATATAAAACTCAGAAGACTCGTGTAGGTTCACTGGTGGTTCTGGATAGTAAATAAAACGTCTACATTAGTGTTGTAGTCATGGCGACCCCTGGTTCCTATCACCACCACTGTAAAGACATCTGAACCATTTCACACCAAACCACTCTGAATGTTGAAAAATTAGTGGAGTTCCCCTTTACTGTCCTAGAACAAGGCTAAATCAGCCCCATCTCCACCCATTTCTCCTTATCAGAAACATGCTGTAGATGATTTAACACACACAGGGCTGCTCGCCAGCACACCAGCGCTGCTCTAACAGGCACTACGTTATGTTAACTAGCTATTGATTTTGTTTTCCATGCCGTGGCCTCGGCTCTGCTTTATTAGCAGATATAGAGAAAAGGCTCGATCAGACGCTGTGTTGCTCTCAGCTGTAATGTCATATGTGCTGCACTATTCCCTCACATTCGTTTCTGCATTGTTGAGCCTTTTGATACAGCAGTATGATCTATTCTCCCTCATTGTGTGGCTCGCAGTGGTGGTTACAGTATGTGCTCTATTTTAATGGGATCGCTTATCAGAAGATTATCAGCCTTGTAACACATAAGGAAGTTCTATGATTACAGCTGTGCCTTTTTCTCCTCAGGTGATGTCAGAACTAAAAGAGGAAGCGCTTGGCTGCGCAGGTTCAGATACAGAGGGAAATTACTGAGGGGAAATATAATTACTGGGCGAAATTACAGTGTGGCATTTTGGCGGAGAGGGGCTGAGGAGATTCTCCCAACAGGCTGCTTTGTTTGAAGAGGAAAGTGGAAACTAGTGATGCACTGATCCGATATACAGGGTCAGTATTGGCAATATAGCCCTGATTAACAGATCTGATGTCGATCAGAAGCACAATCAGTGCTGTTTTCTGATCAAGGTTGTTAAATAAATGTAATTTAGGAGACACTCTAGAACAGAGGTCACTAATAGGCGGACCACATGCGTTGTAAATGTCACACATGACGCTACTCAGCCAATCAGATCTGTACATTACGATGAGCACTGAGATTTGAGTGAGTGACGCACGTGCAGGGGAGGGACGAGGAGAGAAACAGCAGTCAGAGAAGAAAGTGAGCCAGATTATTTCACATGTTGTGCTCTAAAAAGAGAAAAATGTCAATAAATGTTGTTGAAATATGACTGAACTGTACTTTATTTGATTTGAGATTCAGTTGTTGACTGTATTAGATGTTGATATACCTACTAGGCTACTTCAGTAAACAGTATATGGCACTGAATCATGATGCAAGTTAGACATTATGATGTTCCAGATCTTTGGTTGGAGAAAATTTCTTTAACTGGACCTTATTGAATTTTAACAATATAATTTTTAAATGTGCATGTAATAAACGTTGGTAATGTTATATAATAATAATAATAATAATACATATGAAAAAACACCCTCCTGTGAGAAGAAAAATCCTGACGCGTCAAAAAAATCCAAAATATTTCTCAAGCAGCATCTTAATCATAGTACTAATCTTACTAATACATTCATATAAACAACGCTGCAGTTATTGTATGTCTAATAAATACAAAAATAGTATGTTTAAATAGTAAAAAAATGGTTCTGTGTAGAACCATGAACACTCAAAGAATCCTTTGCATGATTAAAGGGTTCTTTGTGTGGTAAACCGGTTTTAGTGCTCTAGATGAACCTTTTCGGTTCTACGTATCACCAGAAAAGGCTCTTCTATTGTAACAAGCTTGCACTGTAACAATTTTTAAGGTTCTATATAGAACCATGTACCACACATTCCTCATCAATCAGAAAACCCATTTCACAGTGCAAAGAGCCCTTTAATCATGCAAAGTCTTCTGAGTGTTCATGGTTCTATATAGAACCATTTTCTTTACTAAAGAACCCTTGAAGAACCATTGTTTTTTAGAGGGTGGCATGTAACTGTCTCAGTTGAGGTAAATTAGGCTCTGCAATATGTTTATGTTGATGTACTTTGATGCTACGGAGCACATGTGCTGTAACAGAGCGCTGGTACCGCATCGGTACTAGGCATCATTCCATACCTTGAGTTCAAATATCAGAACCAGATATCAGTATCGGTTAATCTGTCGTTTTTTGTTGTTTTTCAAGTAGATGTCAGTGAACAGTGGCAGTAATTCAGATATGGTTCAGCAGTTGAGAGCAGGCAGAGTCTTGTCTGTCAGGTTACAGCCCACGCAGGCACAATGGTAGATAGATAAACAGGTTTATTTCAATAAGTTCTTATTAGACAGGCTGTATACGGTCAGTCCATACATTCATGATATCCAAGGGTAAAGACACGAAGCCCCAAGGCTCATCTGCATTGTTTCCTTTGTTGCTCTGTGCTTTATCACTGAGTTAATTGCTTATTTTTATGCTGAAGTCCATGTGCTGAGTAGGATTTGCTGATTATCGTGATCAATTCAGTGACTTTGACATCATTACCGTCAATAATACAGTATGTGATGATCAGCTTTGCTCTCCGTTTTTAAATGCAGCTTTTCAAATGTTTGAAATTGTGTAATAAAAGTGTGTTTTTTCTCTCTTTCTCCAATACTTTCAAGGTTATAGTGTTTCAGATGTCACAGATGAACCCCCTCCATTAGGCCTGTCAAAAGTTTGGGGCCTAATGACTTGACATTCATCTGAAATTTGGATTTCATCACTGTTACTTTTCAGATTAAGCAAGAAAAAACCTCCTTTTGAAGGTTTGGAGATGATAAAGCAGATATGTGCTGATGATTTATGCGTATCGCTGCTGTCGGAACAAAACCTCGTATCTCTAAACTGAGAACTTTACAGGAGAAGGAAAAACCATGCTCTGCTTTTAATGTAAGTCAGTGGAACCAGACTTTTTTCCAAGTCATTTTGGTCCGTTTCTTTTGGTCAACTCATCATGAAATTTACACACAATGTAAAGGACGACAGGTATTTTCAAATTATGTCAAAAACTGAAAAACGACAAAATTAGAGATATGAGGTTTTGTTCCAACAGCAGCGATATTCATCTTCAACACCTCATGTTCATCAAGTGTTCTTATTGGTATGAAGAGCAGGTTTTGCCTTGATAGGGCTAGACTGTTGTTAAAATCACATACTGGCTTAATTCCCCAGCTAGCACGGACATTAATACTGGCACAGATACGTACTTGCTTGATTAGTTTAACTCTAAATGAGTCTGATTAGGCTTTAATCTGTTCACGTACTGCAAACCGAGAAAGAACACATGTTCATTTGTATTCAAAACCGGTTGAAAAGCTGGAAGTCTGGCCTGTTTTTGCATCACCTGGCCGGCGGCGCTGATGGAAGCGGTTGCGTGTTGTTGTTTGTGTTGTATCCGGGTGATGGAGGCGCTGGGTGTGGGAGCTGCTCTCTATGCAAACCGTTCAGCGCCCGGTTGACATGCTGTAACTTGGTCTGGTCAAAACAAAAAACCTGTTTAGCCACTGCATCTGACAGCAGCCCACGCTAGCACAGGTTCCGCTTGTTTTTCTCAAACATGAGCAGTTCTTTTCAGCCCAAAGCTCCCACTCCCTGCTGCATTTATGCATTAAGCAGTGCACTGTTGTTGGCACTGCACTACCTTTAAAAGTACATGTTTTTGGGAAAGGCTTAGATGCTTCCTGAAGGGGAACTCCACTGATCTTTCAAAATCTCTGCATACTTAAGTGGTTAAGATGTGAACAGAGTCGTTCAGAGTGGTCTGGTGTGAAACGCTCCGTTCTAGAAGTCAGAATTGTTCACAGTGGTGGTGATAGGAACCAGACGTCCACCTCTAAAAGCTCCCTCACAGAAAGTTACTACATGAAATGGTTATGAATTCACTGCCTGATGACTGAGACACTGTTTTATGAGAGTTTTCCAAAGATTTTGGCTTTAAACTCCATTCACGGTGGAGGGATACATAATATGCAGGGTGCTGTGAGGCAAAATAGTCCCCAAAGAAAACTTAACATTTCCAGTTTTTTTTATTTTACCATCATCAACACTCCATATAAACTCAGAAGACTCGTGTAGGTTCACTGGTGGTTTTGGATAGTAAATAAAATGGCTGTATTTGTGTTGTAGTCATGACCCCTCCAGTTTTGGAGGTGTGATAGGAACACATGGAGTGAGTTAAACTGGTGTTATCAAAAAATAAATAAATAAATAAACAGCAAAAGCAGAGCATTGTTTACATATTCATTTGCCGATGATGGGACGCTTTTCAACCAGGACTCGCTAATAGACACTTAAGATCAATGTATACGTTTGGGAACACGTCAATAAAACAGGCTTCATTTCAAATTACCGTCACGCTTAATGAAGCACTTAAGTTGATGACATTTATCCAACCGGTATAGTTGGTATGATTTATGTGTGTTTTCCTCGGGCTGTCTTAAAGCTCTAGATCAGCCAGACATGCAGATTTACCCAGTTTTGCACTGGAGCTTTGAGGCCAATAAGTAATGGAAGCTTATACCCCACCAATTAGCATGATGCTAACAGCATGCATCACACTGAGCTGTCACTTTAATATGAGAGCACAACTCAAGACATAACAACTCTCTCTCTCTCTCTCTCTCTCTCTCTCTGCTAGGTTTGCCAAGTTTCATCAAGACTCCTGAGGACCAGACGGGAATTTCTGGTGGCGTGGCGTCGTTTGTGTGCCAGGCCGGGGGGGAGCCCAAACCCCGGATAACATGGATGAAAAAGGGGAAGAAAGTCAGCTCTCAGAGATTTGAGGTACCCCCCCCACCAAACACACCCCAACTACCTCTCCTCCGCTGTCCCCATCGTCCCTCTTCACTCTAATCATACCTTCTCGCTTTTATTTCTCAAACATTGCTCATACAGGTAAGATAGATCACTAAATCAGCCTAAAACACAAAGAAAAATCAATAAATCAGCCTAAAATGCAAAGATAAATGACTAAATCAGCCTAAAACACCAAGAAAAATAACTAAATCAGCCTAAAACACCAAGATAAATCACTAAATCAGCCTAAAACGTGAAGATAATCCCCTGAATTAGCCTACAAAGAAACGAAAATTACTAAATTGGACTTAAACGCAAAAGGTAATCACTAAATCGGCCTAAGAAGAAAAGTCACAAAATCAGCATAAAAAGAAAAGATAAATTACTTAATTTGGCCTGAAATCCAAAGATAAATCACAAAATCAGCCTAAAAACAAAAGGTAAATCACTAAATTGGTCTAAAACGCAAAGATAAATCACTAAATTGGCCAAAAAAAGGATAAAGCACACTAAATTGGCCTAAAATGCTGTGGAAAACTGTTAAAAAGAAATGATAAATCACTGAATTCACCTAAAAAGAAGCATTAAATAAAAAATCAAATCAAACTGAAATACAACGATAAGCCGCTAAATCAGCCCAACCGTCAGATGTGCTAGCTCTTATGGTAGCTGCACGCAATAAAGAGACGCTAAATCTTCGGTGTTTTTGTATTTTTATTTGTAAGAATGTAGAATATCCTCTCGTCGGGATATTCGGATGCTGTCCATTTAGAAACTGTGGCTATTTGAAGAGCAGAAATGGCCGTTGCTCCACTGAACGAAGTGCCGTGTTGAATTTACTGTTTTCCAGGTGAATAAAATGCATTACATGAACACAGTCTTGTCTTTCGGTTCACTTCTGGCAATAACAGTGTTGATGTAATACATTCTATTCTAGTGGAAATGAAGGACACATTAGAGTCCAGTCAGTTCGTGGCGTGTCCTCCTGCAGCGTTTTTTCCATTTCCTCGTCTCCACACCTCCTCGGCTGTCTCTGCGTGCCGTCTCTAGCCGGAGCGAGCGCTGTAGGCCTGTTCTGAGGGTGTGATGACCGCGTGATGGTTCGGGTCAGTGGGGAGGCCCATTATTTCCCAGTAGGGGGGAGTGCAGCTTCAAGAGGCATCTCTCAACAAGTAACCTTCAAAAGAGAACCGTCCAGGCTGGCCCTCTTCTACCTCATTTCCCACCGTCCACACTGAGACGCCGCCCAGATCAGTCTCGGCGGCTCATACGTGGCTCTCAGATCCCACCACCGCTGTGCTGACGCCGCTGAAGGAGTGAACCGTGTTAGAAGAGCTTAATGATCATTTTGGGGTGATTCATCCCTGCAGTCGCCATCACCTTCAGTCTGTGTGGTTTGGAGAGGAGCATGCAGCGATCAGACATAACATTCTGACCACCTCCTTGTTTCTACGCTCATTGTCCATTTTATCAGCTTCACTTACTATATAGGTGCACTTTGTAGTTCTACAGTTACAGACTGTAGTCCATCTGTTTCTCTGATACTTTGTTAGCCCCCTTTTACCCTGTTCTTCAGTGGTCAGGACCCCCATGGACCCTCACAGAGCAGGTACTACTTGGGTGGTGGATCATTCTCAGCACTGCAGTAACACTGACGTGGTGGTGGTGTGTTAGTGTGTGTTGCGCTGGTACGAGTGGATCACACAGCAGTGTTGCTGGAGTTTTTAAACACTGTGCCCACTCACTGTCCACTCTATTAGACCCTGCTATCTCATTGGTCCACCTTGTAGATGTAAAGTAAGAGACGATAGCTCATCTGCTGCTGCACAGTTTGTGTTGGTCATCCTCTAGTCCTTCATCAGTGGTCACAGGACGCTGCCCACAGGACGCTGCTGGCTGGATATTTTTGGTTGGTGGACTATTCTCAGTCCAGCAGTGACACTGAGGTGTTTAAAAACTCCAGCAGCACTGCTGTGTCTGATCCACTCAGACCAGCGCAACACACACTAACACACCACCACCACGTCAGTGTTACTGCAGTGCTGAGAATGATCCACCACCCAAATAGTACCTGCTCTGTGAGGGTCCATGGGGGTCCTGACCACTGAAGAACAGGGTAAAAGGGGGCTAACAAAGTATCAGAGAAACAGATGGACTACAGTCTGTAACTGTAGAACTACAAAGTGCACCTATATAGTAAGTGGAGCTGATAAAATGGACAATGAGGGTAGAAACAAGGAGGTGGTCATAATGTTATGCCTGATCTGTGTATGTATATATGATATAGACACTCATTTGTTGGGACATGCAGGCACTGTTGCTCTCACTGGATGTCGAAGATGAAAATTTGAGTTCACTCAAATTTATGTTATTATATTTGTGTAAATTGAATGCAGAACAATAAGAGTAACTCCAGACTTCTGAAGGTGATGTGTGTAAATAAGGTGCTGCTTCATTAGAGATGCGTACAGTATGAATGTGTAAAGCTCTGTGGAGTGCAGCTCTTTACGGTGGTGCCTGATGGACTGAAGTATTAACAGGGGCTCAAAGCGTTACAGCGTAGTTTAGCTGTGTATGAATCATCTCTCTGAGCCTGAGGAGCTGAAGATAATGCGTTCAAACACACTCAGACAGTTAGGCTTAATGTACTGTACACTAAAGCCCAGACTTTAGTCTGGAGTACAGCGTTAACGGCCTGGACGCGATACAGAGAGGCAGCAGGTGGCTGAGTGAAGACTGCAGTACACTGAAGAGCTTAGACTTACACAGTGTATGAGTTCGTATAGTCTCTCTATCTCTCTCTCTCTCACTCTCACACACACGGTCACTGTCTGTCTCTCTTGCTCTCTTTCTTTCGTTCTTTCTTTCTTTTTCCTTTTCCTTTCTTTCGCTCTCTCTTACTGTCTATCTTGCTGTCTCACTCACTCTTTTCATTCTTTCTGTCTGTCTTTTTCACGCTTTCTCTTTCTCACTCTTCAGTCTATCTCTATCTCTATCCTTCTCTCACTGTTTCTCTCTCTTTCTCTTTCCTTGTCTTCTTTCTTTCTTGTCTTTCTTTCTTTCTCTCTCTCTCTCTTAGTCTCTGTATCGCAGTGTCTCTCACTCCCTCTTTTTTCTCTCTTTCTCTCCCTTTTTCATTTCTGCTTTCTCACTCTTTCTCTTTCTCTCTCGCTCGTCAATCTCTGTTTCTGTCCTGATCTCTCACTGTTTCTTTTTCATTTTAGTTAGCTTTCTTTCTTTCTTTCTTTCTTTCTTTCTCTCTCTTAGTCTCTCTCTGTCTTGCTTTCTCTCACTCGCTCTGATTTCTGTTTCTCTTCCTCTTTTTTCATTTTTTTCTCCATCTCTTTCTCTCTCTCTTTCGCTTTCTTACCTATTCTCTTTCTCATCAATTTCTCTCTGTCTCTATCCTTTTCTCACTGTTTCTTTCTCATTCTCTCTCCATCTTTTCCTTTCTTTTTTCTTTCTCTCATCTCTCTCTCTCTCTTTATCTCTATCTCTCTCTCTCTCATCAATTCAGTTCACTAAGCTTTATCATATCTTGTTGTAGGAGTGCCAAAGTTGAAGTAACAACTGTCATTAAGTCTCTCTCTCTCTTTCTCTCTCTCTCCCTCTCTCTCTCTCTCTCTCTCTCTCTCTCAGGTGATCGAGTTTGATGATGGCTCAGGCTCCGTCCTGCGCATCCAGCCGCTGCGCACACACCGCGATGAGGCCATATACGAGTGCACGGCCACCAACAGCGCCGGCGAGATCAACACCAGTGCCAAACTGACCGTGCTGGAAGGTAAAGTCCAGCGCTAACGAGCTTCTCTCTGCATCACGTCTCATTACGTTCTACTGTAAGGTGTGAAATCAAGTAACAGAGACCGAAAGCGGCTTTTAGAGGAGATTCGCTGAAGATTCCTCATCACTGTACAACGTAACAGCGTTTCAAGGTCGTTCAAGAGCATCGAAGCAAAGCGTTTATCGCTGAAGGTCTCGCAGCTGCAGAGATTCGTAGATAGCGCAGTGTGGCAGCAGAGAGGATTGATTCTGACCGCTTAGCGGTGGATTGGCTGTAATGGCCTGGTGGGGAGATGATGATATCATCTGCATGCTGGCCTGATGCAGCTGCAGGCTGTTGTGCTCTGTTTCTGATTATAGCCGTACGCTAAAGCGAGTGACTCAACACATAAACAGCCACGTAGCATGAAGCCCACATGAGAACGAGATTAATCAAAGAATTAGATACCGGTCAAGTGAATATGGTTCCCTCTGGCCCTCAGACATCAGGATGGATTCGCTGTAGCCGGTGAGTGACCCACCCCATGAGCATGTGTTTGGTATTACACAAATGCCCCCGGCGTAATCCTCTGTAATCTTATTTTCGACTCCAGCATGGGAGCAGACGAAGGCCAATTAGCTCAAAATTAGACAACGTCTAACGAAGAAATCATTTTAGTCGGGACACGTTGGAAAAACGTGCTTTGCTCTTGAATAAAACTTGCTACATCAACACGATTCTGGCTGAAATAGTAAACTGAAAGTGTATGAATCTTAAAATTTGTCTTTCTCTATACAGTCATATGCAGAAGATTGAACACCTCTGGTCAAATGACATGCCATGCGCGTTTTTCCATCACAAATATGGCAAATTTTAGTGCACAACTTCTATTTATTTGCTGCGTTTAATAATAAAAATAATAATCGGTGCCATAACTTTTGCACTACCCACAGTTTTTGCCCCGGGAGGCTGAATTCAGCGAACGAACAGTAATTGTGCCTTAAAAAAGTGCAGAAGTGCGTTCCCTGTGGTGGATGTGTAAAACTTACCTTCACTCAGAAAATCAATAAAAAGGGTCAATTTGACGGGGGCGCCAAGACTTTTGCACACAACTGTATATATATTCGCTACATCTGTTGTGAACTGACGTAAACGTGCCGCTCGCCTCCTACAGTGGTACCGCAGTAGTGTCTTAAGTGACAAAAGGCCAGAAACCCCCCGCACCCCACCCTATGATGATGTAGCTTGAAGGTGGGAGGAGCTACAGCTGTTCTGTTTTGGTGAATGCAGTCATAGCTGAGTTCACTGGAGCTGAATTTCGTATTGGGGCTGTTTAGCAGTGGTTACCATCTTCAGATCATGTTCATGATGTGAATGAGTTACCCAAAGACACAAAGGACCAGCCAGATGAGGCTAAAAGCTAAAGTTACAACATAGCTGTCTATCTAGATATCTTACCTCAGGGTTCTCCTGTCTCCTCTGGCTGAAAGGGTGAAAACCTGGCCCTGATGACCATTTTTGTACTGGATGATGATAGAATCTCTGTTTCCTTTACAGTTTGTTCAGTAACAGAGGTAGGAGTTGCTAGATTAGTGGCTAGGCTAGCAGTCACGATTGGTTGACACGATTACTAACATTTTCAAGTTCAGTTAAACAGAATTGAAGATTGTAAAACTGTAAACAGCATTTTTTAAACCCATCTTTTCATAATCTGTAAAGTGTTGCTGGACTAATTGTTTTAAAGCTGATCATTTAAACATATACATTTTACAAAATATAGTATTTTGCAGTTTTGTCTCATTTCCACAGCACATTAACAGCTATAATAAGACGAAATATGCTGCTGTTTATGTTCCCTTTTTTTAGAGTTAACAAGTAAAACGTTAAAGTTAAGTGATTCAGCTGAAGTTAGCAACGTAGCTATCTCGATATCCTACCTTCTCCTGTTTTCTCTGGCTGAAAGGGTGAAAATTTGGCCCTGGTGACCATTTTGTACTGACTAAAGATAGAATCGCTGTTTTCTTTACAGTTTGTTCAGTAACAGGTAGGAGTTGCTAGAGTAGTGGCGAGGCTAGCGGTCACGATTGGTTGGCACCACAGGGATTCCCAGTGGTTGTATGATGCATTTGCTCTATGCATGCTGGGTATTGTAGTGAGAACATTGATTAGTGAAGACTACAGAACGCTGCGTAAAGCGCCGGGTTCACTACACGACTTTTAAAGTCTGAACAGATTAGAAAAGACTGGGCGTCTCACTATCAGACTGGTTTTTGCAGATGTTTTGGGCGACTGAAATATTGGGGATCCACATTAAATGATCAGGGATCACACACTACTCAACTTTCCAGCTGTTGCTGAACAGAAGGGAGCTCAGTGAACTCTCGCAAACTCTCGCGAACACTCGCGTTCTCCCGTTATTAGGAGACGCAAATAAACAAACGTATTGCAGCTGCTGCTGTTTTCTCTGCCGTTTGCGCTGAAACAGTAAAGAAGCAGCAGGTAAACATGTTTAATGAGGATGATGGATTTAAAAATGTGATCAGTTTGGTATTTTTAGAGTTTTAAATGTACATAAACTCCACTGAGCCTTAAACTTAGCTCATTAGAAAGCTTTGCTCCACACCTGAGAGACTTTTCACCATTTTTCTTTGTTTACTTGCTGCATTTTCTTCTTTCTCACTTTGTGTTCATTGGCTGTTGCAGGAATCTGTTCAGACTGAGTCGTTTTCAGTTTACACTAGATTTCGCGGAGTTGGATCAAAAAATCAAACGTTTAATAAACTCCGACTGGTCTGAAACGCGATCGGGAGGCTGTAAATCTGAGTCTGCGCCCCTCACACAAAAACCCAAAAATCTGCAGACTAGAGCCGAACAGCTCAGACTCAGCCAGACTGAGAATCGGGGCTAAAATCAGGGTAAAAGTCATGTAGTGTAACCCGGCTTAATGGGGGTAGGACTGCTAGAACTGTGACGAGGCTAGCAGTCACGATTGGTTGGATTCCCAGTGGTTGTATGATGCATTTGCTTAATGCCTGCTGGGTGTTGTAGTGAGAACAGTGGTTAATGAAAAATGAAGAATAGTGACGTAATGCTACGCTACTGAACGCTGCGTAACACAACAAATAACATATTAAACTCTAGTTTTAGGCCCCTTTAAGTCATTTTACCCAGTGATGTATCATAATGCATTGGCAGATAATCTCGTTTCAAGAAATAATGCCTAATTAAATAAGCAAGTTGATCTGCCAATAGAATAACTGGATAAAACGACCTTATCTTATGATATTCTCCATAATACAGTATATCGTTGTTGTCGGAAGAAAACCTCGTTTTTCAGTTTTTGACATAATTTGAAAATACCTGTTCCCTTTACATCGTTTGTAAATTTCATGATGAATGGACCAAAGGAAACAACCCAGAATCACTTGGAAAGACGTCTGGTTCCATTGACTTACATTAAAAGTAAAGTATGTTTTTTCCTTCTCCTGTAAAGTTACCATTTTGGAGATACGAGGTTTTCTTCCGACAGCAGTGATATATACGTAGTTATATTGGCTATACTGAGAAATATCTCAGTTCATAGCATCGTTTTTTCCGCTGCAGCTTTAAAATAATGATTTTTTGGGGGGAGGGAATGAAGTAGGGCTTTTTGGAAAGCCGAGTGTCGCCTTAGCTGGTAGTCCACTGTGGAGGTGGATGAGCTGGACGCCCCCAGGATGCCGCTGGATGGAGAATGAACTCTATTTATAGCCCATTGTTTGTGGCCCAGCAATACATCACGTTCGCTCCAGTGACACGGCACAAACACCGGCACAAAGGAGAGGTTGATTGATGATCATGTACTCTAACGACTCACTAAAGTACGTCCTTTTCCTCCTGTTTGAGGGTGGTGGCGATGTCCAGCGTGATATTATTGTTTTTTTGAGGTCTCTGTGACGGAGGCTTCGGCGTAAGACGTGGATCGGGGCTGCCGGGCAGGGAGGCGGTGCTGTTTTCAGGCTTTTTGCTTTGGTCGTGCTGCTTTTTGATAAGTCTTAGTTCATTGCAGCAGACCTAATATTTCAGTAGGAAGTAGAGTTGTCATGGTTACGCTGTTAACTCAGCAGTTTGTATCATGATAATGCATATTTTAAATTCTCATACTGCTTTCCTGCAAAGAAAGAAGCAAAACCTGCACATTTATATGCATGTTTGTGCCAATTATGTGTGTTTTTATATAAAAATAATACAAATAAGAAGGAATTAGAATCCAACCAATGAATCCTGGGTAGCTCCACCCCGAATGCTACAATATTTGTATTATTTAAAGGAGAATCTCACATTTTTTACTGCATAATTCAGTGTTTGAGGTGTAAACAGAGTCATTCAGAGAGGTTTGGTGTGAAATAGTTCAGATGTCTTTACAGTGGTGGTGATAGGAACCAGGGGTCGCCATGACTACAACACAAATATAGACATTTTTGTCATATTAATTGTGGCACTGATGCGACTGCTTGAAAAATTAAGATGACTAAATCTTAATATGCGCTTTTTCTCTTGGATATACAAACAACGATGCCTGGTTAAATATTTAAACCTGAACGATTTCATTTAGAAAGTTAGAGCCTTTTAGAAGAAGGGTTCTATGTAGGGCCAAAAAGGGTTCTTCTATTGTACCAAGCTCGGCATCGTAACAGTAGAAGAACCCTTTTTGGCAATATATAGAACCTTTTTCAGGAAGTTTCTAAATAGAACCACATACAGCACATTCTTCATCAATCTGAAGAACGCTTTCACCATGCAGAGAACCGTTTAGTCATGCGAAGGGTTCTTTGAGTGTTCATGATTCCTTTTAGAACCATTTTCTTTACTAAAGAACCTTTGAAGAACCATCGTTTTAAGAGTGTAGTGAATGTCAAATGACTTTTAGAGAAATGGTTCTATTTAGCACCAAAAGGGTTCTTTTGTTGTGACAAGCTTGACATCGTAACAACAGAAGAACCCTTTTTGGTGCGATATAGAACCCTTTTCAAAAAGGTTCT